GCTGAACGCTTCAGTGACGAGTGTCTCAAAGGAGGACCAGTGGGCGATGGCGGTTTCGCGGTTCGTAAACCAAAGTTTAGCTACGTCTGCCAAGTAAAAGATAACGTAGGTGAGCTTAGAGTCGTTGTCCCACTTGTTGCTGGCGCTTACGCGTTCGTACAAGGAGAGCCAGTCTTCGACGTTTTGCTCACCACTGCCGCTGAAGATTGGTGGGTCGCGTTGGCGAGTAGCGCCGGGGCAGGTAGACGGGACAGCCGGTGGTGCTGGATGGGCTGGTATGGGCTGGTTGGCGACTGCGTCAGCCATGTTTTGCAGTGGTCTCTCGGGCAACTTGCGAGAGCGGAGCTCCAGGTCTGCTTGGGGATCTCAGCAGCCTCCACCAAATGTGATGACGTTTATTGAACCGAAGAAGTCGCAACGATGTCGCAACGAAAAATGGCCGTACGACAAGTCTGGCAAAAGGTGGCCCAGGTTCTCGTGCAATCAGAGCACGGGGTTTTTCCTTCTCTTTGGAAGGCGCATACACGTTAGTGCGTATGCTCCACTACAATAACATCTATGTCATGAATGTCCTGATTTACATTTCATGATCCTGCATCTCTTGCAGTGTTTTCGTTCACATGGCATGCTGCAACACTGGTATGTTATGGCATGATTGCACGGCGAACACAAGCGACAGACCCTAACATAAAAATCATGACACGAATGTCATGTAACGTGACTACACGTCACGCTCATGATGCGCTCACGGCCGTCACGCTAGCCTCACATATACGAAATCTGGTAGTACAGTACGTTGATGGATGACGAAGGTACATGAGTGGTGCAAACAAGGTAATCTTAAGAGGCGTGTCATGTAACATTACTACATGCCACGCTCATAATTCACTGATAGCCGTTTCGCTTGCTTCACTTATACCAAATTTGGTATTGCGGGAAGTGAATGGATGACGAAGGTGTGATACTGGTGCAAACATGATAAGCATGAGATGCGTGTCTGTAACAACATGGCTACATGCTATGCTCATGAAGCGCTCTCGGCCGTTTCACTAGCTTCCCATGAACCAAATTCGGTATTACGCGACGAGAACCGATGACATCGTAAATGACACATCCAAGCGTGATAATCACTACATGCGTATCATGTAACAACATGACTACATTCCACACTCATGATGCGCTCACGGCCGTTTCTCTAGCTTCACATATACCAAACTGGGTATTACGTGTCGTCAATTGATGACGAAGGTTTGTCACTGGTGCAATTATGATAATCATGAGATGTGCGTCATGGGACAACAAGACTGCATGCCACAGTGAAGGCGCCATTACATTTCGACGTGACGCGGTGAGCGTGCTCGCCGTCGTTCATTTCGTCGCGTCACGCCGGCGTTGCCACGCCAGGCGCCGGTCCTACCATATACTCGCAGGCACCAGCCGTACTGGATTCCTTTGACGCATGCGCGTTTTGGCGCGTCCAGCGTCCCTCACTCACGAAAAAAGGGAGACGCAGTGGCGTCTGGGTAACACATAGGCGCAAAATGCAGCATTTCGCATTTCGCGCTGGTTGCCGTCGGGCCACGCCGACGCTTCTGGCGTCAGACTACAGAGTGCTCGCGTTTTGCTAACGTAGCATCGCTGTTCCCAGCGTGCGTCAACGGTACATTGGAGTATATTGGGTGCTTCATGATGCGCTTGCTGCCGTTTTGCTAGCTCTGCATATACCAAACTTCGTGTTACGTGACGCCATTGGCTAACGAAATATATGACTGCTGAAAACAAGATAATTCTGACACGAGTGTGATGGAAGAACATGACAACGTACCACTCTAATAGCGTGCTCGCAGTCGTTTCTCTAGCTTTACATAAACTAAATTTGGTATCACGTGCCGTGAATAGAGACGAAGGTAAATGACACACCGAACATGATAAGCATGACATGGCAGCCATGCTCGGCATCATTTACCTCCACCACGTAACGTTGTGCTGATTTTAAAGTGACATATCAACCATTCTTATTTGTGCTTCGCATATCATTGATTCCCACTGTACGTGGGATCTGCCAATTTTTTTCTGCTTCTGACAAGCTCGGCCAGATTTGTGCGGCTGTGAGTAAGAAGTTATTGGGACAGAGCAAGTGGGACATGGGTGTGACATCAAGCACCATGATAAATTCGTCGAATGTGGCGAAAAGGTACTACCTGATACGCCATTATCTTGCAGAAAATTCTATTTTGGGCAGACGGATTGGTGTTTAAACAATACATTGTTAGATCGTAAGGCTTCATTGAGAGGGACACCTTGTTCTAATCTTCCTTTACGTCGCAGGGAGTGCGGCCGCACACCCTTGCTACCAGAAAATTAGCTGGTCGCAAGATTAAAAGGATAGTTTGCACGAGAGATTGAAGGAGCATTCTTTATTGACAGATTGGGCTAGACATGCGTAGCGAAACCTTCGATCATATTGCCTGCCACTGAGACAGATTATTTGAGCGCCTGCCACTAATGAAATTAATCTTTTGCTAACGTGACTCATAACTTTTTTGACGTGTAATATGTGTTTGCCTGAGTGCCTTTAAAATAAATTAAGTGGATAGTTTGCGTTTGTTCTTCTCTCGTGTTTATTTTGCACTAAAAGCTACTGTAATCAAGATTTAAATTTACATACTTGCTTTATTACAACAAACTTAGTGTGAATTTGCGTGCGTATTTTCAGCCATTTTTGTTGTGCACGTCGAAAAATCGACGTGCACATATTCTTTTTTTTATCAAACACTCGCTAAATTTTCGAAGTTGTCTTTTTTTTCCATGAACCATTTCTGATCCGAATTGGCTGCTATAAAATATATTGATTCTTTAGAACCTGCAAGTACATTTACAAAGGCTCCACATACCCATCTGAAATTGCAAAGAACTACTGAGTGTCCATGTGACTTTTTTTTCTCTTCGCTTTCAGTTGTGTATTTTGTCACTTTTTGCAGTATGCTTTTAATGCAGTGGTACTTCTTAAATTGTAAATACTGTACTTACACACTCGACTTATTTCAGAGAGAGGTTTTCTATTCTCTCTACAACTGCTAGCTGTTATATATGTTGCACTTGAATATGGAAGTATGACTATTTGAGCGGAGGGCTGGAGATGTTTTTTTTTCCTGTATATGTGTCGCTCTTATGTGAGCTTGTGTGTCTTAAGGCTCCATATGTGCTTGTAAACTTCCAACTGTGTAATTTCCTACCTGCATGGTACTTTGTGACTGCAGTGAATTGTAAATAAAATAAAATAATATGAATAAACCACACATATTTATAAAGGATAGTATTTTGATTTTGGCCGAAATCTACAATTCAGCATCTATGCGAGAAGTTTCCAGTTATGACGCACTTATTGCCGGCTGCTGTGAGACCTATCACTGAAACACCTAGCACAGTCCGCGCGCTCATAAATTGAGTATTGTCTCGGTGGGCATGGTATTCCTAAATGTTTAAAAAAAACCTGTGAAGTCACATCGCCCGCATTTAAACGCAGATTCTTTAAAATGTGCCTTTTAAGCAATGAACTCTTTCTTCCCACCTCTCTTAACTTTAAGCACTCTGCTTTCTCCACGGTCGAGTTGGTATGCTATCACCTCGATCAAGATAGGTTACTTTGCCCGGTTGTTCTCGATTACACGTGGGTCACCAGATATTGTCGCACACCATCGGTGTAGCCTGTGGGAGGAAGGGGGTCAACCTTTTCGAAATTTTCCGCTTTTGCTTGCAAATATATACACGCACGAAAACACATAGTTTGCCTGAACATCCCCCTTCTCGCGGAAAAGGTTTCTCGCTATGCTCTTGCCACTGACACACCCTCTCTTACTGTGTCCTATGCCTTACACAAACCACGCCAGAATTTCTGATAGCTAAGGAAGTAGATGCGGTCAAGGACGAAGTCAACGTGAAAAAATGCTGAGACGTTTCGGGGCGCATGGGAATTCTTTGTTCACACTAAGCATGTTAAACCGTGTGTCACTTTTTACGCCAAAATTTTGTTACCACAAAAAATATTAACATATAGCTCTTGCCTTGTTAGTGTGAGCAAAGAACCCATATGCTTCCCTAAACATCTCTGTGTTTTTGTTTTTTTTTACGTTGGCTTTGTCAGAGACCGTATTTACTTAGTCATAATGATACTTGACTTGACGAACTTTCATCGAACTCTTGAATAAATCTCTGAGAGCATTGCAAATTATTTTTGCATCTTTCAAAGGGTCCGCTATTCGGTTAGCCTTGTTGTTTTGACATACTAACCACCGTGAGTTGCGCAACTGAACAGGACTCACGAGAAGTAACAGGTGACGACTACATGCGAGTACTGCGCCTATACTCATCTGTCGCTCCTCGCGTGACCTGTTTAGTTGTTCAACTCGCGATTGTTTCTATACTTTAGGATCATCTGTTAGGCTTGAGCACGCAAACACGAGCAGCAAACTTTATTGTCGAACAAACGTGGTCACCAGTGATAATGTTCGATGCTCGCTTCCACATGTTTAAATGCCAACGCGTTGTTCTGCGGATCAGATCCTCAACGGCTGACGCTCTGTCTGCCGCTATGAGTGCCAATGTGTATGGCTGTAGTCTGACTGTCCATTTCCCGGCCACAAGTGCAGCTAAATAAAGAATGTCATCTTCGGGCGCCGATTGTTTCCTTCGTCAGCGTCATGACCTTGTTAAATATTAATGGTCACTTTTCGAGAATGGGTTGGCGCTTCTATGTCAAAATAGTATGGTATGCTCGGACATTTGTTCATTTGTTCGCGCTCAATACGTTCAACACTCCTTGTTTCCTCGACAAGAATCGTCAACCTAATTGGCCACATAGCTACACAAACTGATGCTAGTTTCATCGGCTACTGCTGAGTGGCACGCTCAAACAAGCCGCGCGTCGTCTATCGCTCCAAATGTTTCACTGAGTGCACAAGTTTTACACGCCGTGCCTGCATAAGCAGCGCGCATCATACCGAGTGACTTGACGAGACCGTGGACGTCTCCGATAAGCTTCGAGATCTGGTACTCGTCGACGCTTGAAGGCTTGGATGACTGTCCGTAACCACGTAGGTCAGGTACCACAACCCTGCACCGTAAATAACACTATTTGGTTTCACAGGAACACATTAGCTCGACAAAGAAAAATTTTTGTTGAAAGAGACGCCGGATAACAAGGCAAAGCTCGAAGTAGATACAGCGTAATTTTTGTCCCAATCAAGATAAAAATTGTAATGCAATTGCTGTATTCGTGTTTGTTAGTTACTCTAAAATGTGAATTGACCTAGATCCAGTGACATTCGAACCAAGTAGATTTGCACGTGGCCGGCCTATTGGGGCGACAATTATGATCACCACTTTCAAAAAATAGCGTAAGACAAATAATTAACTGCATACAGCGACTACCACTGCACACGAAGACCAAGATCACCTAAAAAACAAGAAACACAAGCTGATATGGCAGCCCAACTGTCATATTACACCTGGATGATCACTGTCGAATCTTGACCAAAGTACTGAAGTGCCAGCTCTCATGAAGGCCTTGATCTTGTTATTTAGTCTGTTTCGGGGTATTACTTTGCTCTGTGTCGGATTTGTTGCCTATTTATTTATTTATTTATTTATTTGATTATTTATTTATTTATTTATTTATAGACTATTTTACGAACGGGAATGAGTGCCGTTAGGTTGGGATGTTAACCGTCGTGTCTTGTACTTTTAATAATAAATGAACAATGTTACGGTAGACACGTGCGCATGAAAATGGTTGGATTTTTATGCGATGTTCCGTGGCTTCATTAACTGGCATCACGACATACTAACTGGGCGTGGCTGATCCCCTTATCTAGCAATCGATATAACACAAAAGTGAAATGTCTCCTTACAGAGGTAGTTGATCATTTATTCTGATTGTTTCAGGAGCAGCAACAAATTACAAAGTCACGCTTGGAGCAGCAAGCAGCAACAAACTTGCAGCACACACCTCAAACACAAAGCACGCACGAAATTGGGAAAGACAGGACAAGCGCGGACTAATAGTAGTCACAGCTCTACACTTAAAGTATGCTGTTGAAACAGAAAGACAGAGGCACGGAACGAGCGTACAAGTATGCACAGGACAAGTGCGGACAATTGTCACAATTTTTACTGCGTCGTGTGCCAGCAGCGCGCTTTTTTAGTAAACGTGGTCGTGGCGACTTGCGAAGTGACCTTCGTTCTCTCCCGAAATGAGTTTGCTAAGCGCGCGCGCATGGAGGCGACGACCTTTAGAACACGTCCAAAGCGAGCCGGTCGCCCCATTTCACCACTGATAACGCAAACGCGCTACAGTTTCGAAGCTCCGAGGACTGCCAGAGGGTGTACGGTGTATATAAATGGCTTGCCGTTAGCACTACAGATAGCGTACGCTCTGTGGCGTAGTGGTTAGCGCGAGCACTGGAAATCGAGAGGTTGCTGGCTCACTTCAACGCGATAGGTGCTTACCTTCTGATTTTCTGACAATCTGTTTATATGCATTTTTAACGCCACTTTCGTGATGAAATTATGTCAGTGGATTTGTGGTGAACTCCGGCATAAAGCACTTTCGTGTTAAAACAAGAGAACACAGGCTTAATAGCCCAAGATAGTCCAATGCATGTATCTACAGCGTCCTCTCGGGACATTGTTGTACCGTGTTTTACAAATCTAAAGTGGCTACACATCATTGATTGATGCCATACATTCTAACACATATATTCTCATGCGTGAAAACTGCTGTATATGACAAATCTTCGTACAGTGCAAGACGCTTCGAAGACTTCATAGGGAGATACGGGGAGCAGTAACTAACATAGCGATCAGAAATATACAGTGCAAGTCTGTTGGTACGATTCTCCATAATACATTCTTCAGCCCATTACCTTTAATTCCCGCCCCGCCGTGGCGGTCAAGTGGCTATGTTACTCGGCTGCTGACCCGCAAGTCGCGGGATCGAATCCCAGCTGCGGTGGCAGCATTTTCGATGGAGAAGAAAATGCTGTAGGCTTGTGTGCTCAGATTTGGGTGCACGTTAAAAAACACCAGATAGTCGAAATTTCCGGAGTCCTCCACTAAGCCGTCTCTCATAATCGTATGGTGGTTTTTAGATGTTAAACTCCACCTATCAATACCTTCATTTTCTCCCCGCCAACGTAACTATTAGCGAACCTCTTTAGTTATGCAATTTTCGCCTACTACCACCAAACCCTGTTAAGTTAATATCACTTCAAGAGAATACCTCCAGTTTCCTTCGAAAACACATCAACGAGATTCTACTTATATGTTACCTTTGTTTACTGAATAATTCCTAGAAATATTAAATATGTCACAGAACAGAAAGCAAGCTTAACTCTGCAAGCACTTTCGAAGAGTGTTCACAAACCCTTCACGCAAACACAATTTTCAAGGAAGTCTCTTCAGGACGGGGCTCGCTAATGGTTCACTAATCCCGTGTGGTCAATAGGGGACGAGTTCCAGCGGAAGTTCCTGGACACCTTCGCAAATACCGAAAGGCGGGAGCATGCACAACGACTCCTCGAATCACGGATTCAAAAGCCAAACGAATCTGTTGCTATGTTTGTTGAGGACATGGCTCCTCTCCTCCATCGAGCCGATCCCGATATGTCCGAAAGCAGAAAGATCAGTCACATCATGCTCGGTGTTAAAGAGCAGCTCTTTGCTGGTCTCGTGCGGAAGCCACCTTCAAGCGTCGATGGAGTTTCGAAGGAGGCGACCGCCATCGAACGCGCACTACAGCTACGCTACCGCCACTACGATCACCCAAACAGCGGACAAGTCAGCGCAACCGCCATGACTGCTGTGACACCTGACAAGCGTTCTTTGAGTGACCTGATACGTGAAATCGTGCAAGAAGAGGTGAACAAGCTCACCGCCACACCGAATGACTGCGTGATTACATCGGTCGCAGAAGTTGTGCGCCAAGAGATAAGGCGAGCTCTTTCACTTCCCGAGCCGAACACTGACACAGTTATGCCAACCTATGCAGAAATTCTTCGTCGACAGCTATCTAACGTGCCGCCAGTGCAGCAGTACCACCAGCAACAGCCACCGACAGTGCCTTGATACTACAGGAAAACGTCGACGCTGATGCGAGCTCCACTCCGCAAAACCGACATCTGGCGTACCCCTGACTACAAGCCCTTAAGCTTCCATTGTGGGAAAGCAGGCCACATCGCGCGGTATTGTCTTCACCGCGTCGCCGGGTACCAAGGATTTCAGTCCACTACCCCTCGGCGCTATTTCAACGGAATACGGAACGTTGGTACGAGCACAACGATCCCGCGGGACATTTCTCCTGGGTTCCGGTCATGCTTGCCCTCTCCTGGTCATTTCCCCCAATCTAATAGAGGTAGCTCCACGGACATGGCGAGAGGAAGATCTCCAAGTCCACACCGGGGAAACTAAAAGCAGCGACCTTAGGGGGGTAGGTTGCGAATTGCCGAAAAGTTGAAAATCGCCCATTACAGCCGCACGAAGCGCCACACATTTTGAATGCATCGACGAATGACGACATTGTCACCGCCGACATTACACTTTCCATTGACGGTCTCGACGTGACGGGAACGGTCGACACTGGTGCGGACTTTTCAATAATCAGTGCGAATCTGGCCGACGAACTCAAGAAGGTGAAAATGGAATGGACGGGACCGCAAATTAGAGGAGCTGGAGGCCAGCTGCTGACGCCTACCGCGAAGTGCACCGCATGAATCAAGATCGAGGATTCATCATTCGTCGCAACCTTCGTTATTTTTTCTAAATGTTGTAAACAGGATATCTGGGTATGAATTTCTTCCTAGAGTACGGTGCAATCAAAAATATACCGGACGGTGTACTGACCTTTTCAGCGGACCATTGCGCAGCACTGCAGCGCAAGCCCATGCGCGTCATTTATGACGTGACCATGTCACCGTTATCATGCCACCTCGTCGCTGTCACGTGTAACACGCAGCATACCGGAGGAAGTGTCGCGGAACTAGTGTCTCTCGAGGCATTGCTACTGCCAGAAGTCTCGTCGGTGTAGTGTTTGGGCAAGCAGAGGTCCTGTTGACGAACTTCACCAACGAGCGTCGACATATTACAGAGCATACCACAGTTGCATACTTCGAACAAATGGTAGAATTCCGCGAGTGCTTCGCAGCGAAACAGGCATAGACACCCACCGCTTCAGCACCACCACCTGTCCACATGAGCACAGATTTATCGCCAGCGAAGAGGCAGAGTCTTCTAAATATTCTCGGCCAGTTTGAAGATCGTTTTTCATCGACCTCGAGGGTAAATCAAACGCCACTGACAAAGCACCGCATTAAAACAGAAGAGACGGCAAGACCAATTCGACAAAACACATACCACGTGACACCGAAAGAGCGCGAAGTAATCCAAGAACAAGTCCTGAAAATGCTCGACAATGACATCAATGGCGTCACTGGTTTTGCTTGTTAAGAAAGACGGTAGCTTACGCTTCTGTGTGGACTACCACAAGCTGAACCGCGTGACAAAGAAAGACGTATACCCATTACCCCGTATTGATGATTTGCTAGGCAGGCTGAGGCATGCACATTTTAGGGGCGAAGCTTTTTATAGTGGCACCCGTTCGTCCCTCGTAGTCGTATTTGTAGTCGTAGTGTGCAACCAGTCTTACATTTTGACCTCCAAGGTGGTCCCGGTGAGAGATTTTTACTGTGCATTGTTGAACAATGAAAAATTCACAGCGCGCGCGTTAGCTAAAAGCCGAATTCTCCTGTCTCTCATTCTCAATTATGAAATGGAAGCGCACAACGTAGAAGCAGACGGAAAGACAGGGACAAGCGCTTTCCGTCTCTTTCTACGTTGTCTTTCCGTCTGCTTCTACGTTGTGCGCTTCCATTTCATAATTAGTCATGTATCACCAACTCGCCCAATCAACCATTTTGACAAATTACCTCTCATTCCCCTTTAGCAGTCATTGGCATGTACATTGAGCACTATCCGACAAGAAAGGTTGCTACGTTATACTCGCTGGGCATAGCCTCCTTGGATTTAGAAAGGTTTAGCGAGCGTTGGGCCGCAGTGCCA